TATTCTGTGCTGGTTTCAGCATCCTGATCATCTTGAGTTGCTTGTTATATCAGTTCCAGCACTGACTGATCTAATGTAGGTCTTATTGTAAAGTGTCCTGTAGAATATATGAACTAACACAGAGATCTGTAAGTGCTGTATTCATATATAGACCCATAATGTTATCTATATTCTTATTTTATAGCTCCAACACTCACTTGTTTTCTTAAAACTTTCTCGAAATCTTCCTTCAACACACTCGAGCTCAGAGAAGCTGCACAGATATCTTCAGCTCCAGTGTTGTCTCGAGGACACGCCCACAGTCAGGAGAAGCTCATGAATATTCATGTCAGTGGAGCCAGTAATATTGCAGGATACACCTGTAGATCACACAGGTGTGTTTTAGTGAAGTGAAAGAGTGAAAGAGCTCAGATTGTGTTCCTGCTGCACAAGAGCGTCTGTACTTCTGCATGTGAGTTTAACACTTCTACATTACGCTGATTTGTGGAGATGATGAAGGGTTTATATGTGTATAAGTGTGTTTATAAGCGTGATTTATAGCACTGTCTGCTCCAGAAGCTCAAAGCCTAAAACCAAACACGGCCAAAACACGGTCATTTCAACAATATAATGGGTTTTTATCTCTTGAAAGTGTTTGTGCTCATCTATATCAGGTTGACTCGATAATTTCACATCATTCAGCACAAAATCAACTTTAAACAGTCACGAAATCGAAAGTGAAAGCAGAGCTTCCGTCAACAGGAAGAATGCGGATGTATATATTTCAGCAGCGGCGGGTAAGACAGACGCTCCTGGCGGGAAACACTTTTCAAATTGTAGCTTTCTTAAAAGCAGGGTTTGACGATAAAGATAGCCCAGTATGCTTATGTGATCTTAGAATCGAGAAGCAGCAGCAGGACTGATGAAAACAACTGTCTTCACGCGAGCAGAAGAAAGATCACTCGCGCGCACAGGTCATGTGATGCGAGCGGCTGTTTACAAAGCGTGCGCGCTCCCGTTTTCTTCCGCGAAGCGACCGTGCCTGGAAACTCACCTGGTGCGATCTGCTCTCTTTAAACTCGACTGGACAAAAGGTGATGCTTGTGAATCTGCAGACCTGCTGCTTTCAAGAGCTCCAGATTTAAAATAAATGTATTTTTGTAAGCAGCAGCGGCGCCGGTTACTGCTTTCTCTTTTCTTTCCCCATTCTTTAAACAGATTATTAACAGGTCTAATGTTAACGTGATCCTGTTATCACACGGTAATCACCAGCTTTCCTTTGCTGATTGTTATTTTTGTTAATATGATTTAATTGTGTGTGTGTATATATAATAAGATTGCTTTAATAGGAGATTAACTCGCTGTTTGGTTAACTGGTGATCAGGAACCTTTAGCCAGAAAAATTTTTTTTTTAAACAAAAAGAGCATGTATACAGCTATATACACATTAATTTAAAAAAAATTTGTGGCTAAGAACAGGGGCGTTGCGAGGGGGGTGGGGGGGGGGGGGGGCTTTGGGGGCTTAAGCCCCTGATGTATTGTCAAAAGCCCCTGATCTCTTGGAATATATTGCACTTAAATAAAAATATGTTGTATAACATTTATTTTGTTATCTAAGTACTGAAAATGACCACATACATCACGAACATTCCACTTAATTAAATCGTCAGCTGTTCAGCAGTACCTGTTTCTACCGGCAGGTGGGAGTGGCTCTGTTGTCACATGGTGTTAAAAAAATCCCGCCACTGCACTTCATTCATTTATTATTTTGAGGAGCTGAAGCTAATGAGGTAATAATACAACTCTTTCGCGAAACTGAATAGTTTTAACTACTGATGAAGCTTGTTTCCCCAGTATAAAATGTGTGTTGTTCTGGTGATTTTAAAATAACTATAATCAGTAAAATGGGCATCATATCAATGTAAATACATGCGATAAGCACAAAAAAACGTAAATTGTTCTAGCTTTCTAGATATAATATATATATGAGATAGCAAGTCACATCTGTTTCTGTAATAGTTAAATCACAGTGAGTTTATTCATCTAGCTTATTGTTATATAGCTATATTCTAGTGTAACATGCAATGTCAATTTGCATCAAATTATAAATCGACTTTCTTATGAAAATACATAAAATGGTTGGAAGAGCATATACAGTTGAAGTCTGAATTATTAGCCCCCGTTTATTTTTTTCCCCAAATTCTGTTTAACGGAGAGAAAATTGTTTTCAGCACATTTCTAATCATAATAGTGTTAATAACTCAACTCTTGATTTATTTTATCTTTGCCATGATGACAGTCATATTTGACAAGAAATTTTTAAAAACACTTCTATACAGCTTAAAGTGACATTTAAAGGCTTTAAAGGCAGGTTAGGGTAATTAGGCAAGTTATTGAAAAACGATGGGTTGTTCTGTAGACTATCGAAAAAAATATAGCTTAAAAGGGCTAATAATATTGACCCTAAAATGTTTTTTTTTTTTAATGTAAAACTGCTTTTATTCTAGCTGAAATAAATCAA